TTCTCTCCCCCATAGACTTCAATGCCGTAAACATATTTAATCCGGTTTTTCTCAGCCTTACCCCCACCACAAGATTTCTTTTTAATAGACTTTTATAAAATTAAGCCATAAGAGGTTTTCCTCAGTTTATTACTATTTTTTGTACCATTGAAATAGAGGAAAAACATTTTTAGCTTTAGTTAAAGGTATTTCATGGTAAACATTTTGGAATAAAGATAACTTATTTCTTTGATTATTAAATTTTTGTTAATAATTTGCCTGTTGTTTTAACCGCAGTGTCTTGAGACTCTGCCAAGAGTTATTTTCCTTATGCACAGCCCAGTTGTATTTGAATGATTTGGCGCAAGGGCCAAATGGTCTCTGAGGTTCTTCATAACCACTGTCCTTCTGAGATTGTGTTATTTTTAAGATAGTTTATGTAATTTATTAAGTATAAGTTGATTAAGCTGTCAAACAAATTTCCAGTAATTCAGACTGATGTTGCTTATAATCCCAAGTGCTATCAGATCATTTTAGTCACTATGATCATCTTAAAAATCTCCTTGGAAAATGATTGGTTGATTCCACGTATTGTGTTGTAATTGCTGGTTTACCCAGGATATCACTAAGGTTAGCTATGGACTCCTTTTAAAATAGGTAATTAAATACATGAAAATATTGTATTTCAGTTTTCTTTTTTATGTTTTCACAGCGTCAGCCTGCCTTTGACACTTTTGATGGGTCCCTGTTTGCTGGTTTCCCCTCGCTAAATGAAGAGCAAACACTCCAAGAAGTGCCAACAGGCTTGGATTCAATTTCTCATGGTAATTCATTACTCAGACTTGCCAGATGATGTGTAATTTAAGTAGTTCAGAGAATAAAGAGGTGACCATTCATAATGATGAATGGTCTCATCTTTTATTTGAAAAGTCCGATTGGGGCTTAAAACCGGAAGGCAGATTCCCTCCCTCCACCCCCAAACTTAGCGATTCTGTTGTCTCTACATGCCGGAGGTACCCCAGGAAAGCAGGTAAGTCTGCTATGGGTGAACTCCTGAGATTTCTATTCTTAATATTTTCAACACTGTCTCAGGATGAGTCTTTTATTTTCCTAGTCCCTTCTGCTGAACTGGACCTAAAACTGTGGATATTAAAATGCACACCAGCATTTAGTTCTGCATTCACATTTTTAGTTTCATTGTCTCCATGTGGAGTTTTGTGGTCCAACATTATTTTGACTAATCTCTGCCCATCTCTATTTATTTCTGCACTTGTTTCTTGCTTTGAGCATGTCAGAGGATGATGTCTCCGCGTAAACCCTACAGTTGAGTTTAATTGGGAACATTTCAGAGATTATTTTGTTTTATGAAGTGGGTGCTGGAAACACCCCAAAAATGTATTAGAGTGCATACCCTTACATAAGCATAGAGTTGTGACAGTTTTATAATTGTAAATATCCAAGGAAGTGCACAGGTTTTTGTTTGCTTTATTAAATTGAGTGAAGGGGAAAGCTGTATAAAATAAAGGATGATAAAAAAAGAATAAGACTTCTTATTATAAGTAGTGAGTGCTAAGTGGTGTATGTTCACATCATATTTGTAGTTCTGTTACTTGTTGGTTAGTTTAATGGAAGTAGCTTCCAAATTGTGCATTTTCAGTCCATTAAGCCTTTTGATCTAATACAGTATTATTTTTTTCATTGTATAAAAATCTTAAAATAAAACTTGCACCTAGGCATAATTGCTTTAGGAAGCTTTGCAAAATAAAATTTGATTTTTATTTCAGAGGTTTCTTTTTTATAAATGTCATTATGAGATGAATAATGTTTTCTCAGTAGCAGACAAAAATTCTTTTTTTTTAGTATTTATACTATTTCAAGGAATTGATTTGGGTTCAAAGTTGTTGTCTCGTGTATATTTACGCTTTCTCTCCTAAGTCCTGCACTTGACATTGCCTTCCTGAAGTACTAATAATGACCCCTTGGATGTCTCACTAGAGTCCTCCAACTGTGAATTGCCCCTGTTAACGCCATGCAGCAAGGCTGTCATGAGTCAAGCCTTAAAAGCGACCTTCAGTGGCTTCAAGAAGGAACAGCGCCGCCTTGGAATCCCAAAGAGTAAGTGCTGCCTTTTGGAGCTGCTTTTCTGATTCTTTAAGTTGCACGAGTGATTCAGTACTTCACTACTCACTGGAAGGTTGATGATTTAAATCCTCCCGGAGTTATCTTGGAAGAAAGGTTGGCAGCCTGCTTCTGAAAGAAAAGTCACAGCCTGGAAAACCCTGTGGAGCAAGTTCTTCCCTGACACTTGGGGCTTGCCATGAATTGCAGTTGACTCAGTGGCATTATTTTTCCCTTCCTTTTTTATTCTGTATTGTACTAGATGTATGATTTGATTAATCAATTGCTTGGTTTGTTTTTTTAACTTGTTTAGTGTGTCTTTTTTGCAAGATAGTATTTTATATTTTTATAAAAAAGGTCTCCAGTGGGTTTCAGAGGCGGTAATTTCACAAAGTGAGATTGCCCATCTTTCTCCTGCAGAGAAGCTCTGGTGGATTGAACTGTTTGCCTTTTGGGTTGGCAGCATAATTAACCCACTAGACCATCAGAACTCCTGCTTATATAATTAGCACACGTACACACACAAATATACACGTAAATAAAATTAATCTGAACAGTTTTTATTCAGTATATTTAGTTCTCATTACATAGAGAAGAGGGATTTACAGTTGGCATGTTAGAATTTGGCTTGGGTGTATTGTGACAGGGTCTCATTTCATTGTTGGTACACATCAGGGTGATCTCACCACCTCCTGTTTTTTCCCCTTGTTTGTCCCTCTATAGACCCTTGGCTGTGGACAGAGCAGCAAGTGTGCCAGTGGCTTCTCTGGGCTACCAATGAGTTCAGTCTGGTGAATGTAAACCTTCAGAGGTTTGGCATGACCGGCCAGGTCTTGTGCAACCTTGGCAAGGAGCGCTTTCTGGAACTGGCACCTGACTTTGTGGGCGACATTCTCTGGGAACATCTGGAGCAGATGATTAAAGGTACCAGATGAATGGCTGACTCCTCCTTGTCTGGGTGAGGTGTGTGTGTGTGTGTGTGGGGGGGGGATCTGCTTTTCAGCTGTAGGTTTGGCGTTTCAAATGACTTAAAAGTAAATTGTCTGAAAATACCACTGGAGTGAGTCAGGTGTATGGTGGAGATTATAGATTTTTGAGTACGTGTATGTGTGTGCGTAGCATCAAGTATAGCCACAAGGTAGTTGCCTTAGTCACTGGTTTGCTCATGATTGCCAGAGTCCTTCATCATGTGAGTGCATGTTGATTCAAGTATGTAGGGCATCATGTTGTGTGGGCTTAATTAACCCACAAAGCAGAAAAAAATACCACTCAGCCTGAAGAAATGGGAGTCTTTATTCAAATATACTCTGACTTTTAAAGCCAATTTTCCTAAGCCCAAGTGGAAGCTGCATTTTTTTGGTTAATATTTTTAAGCAATTGTGCATGTAATTGGTTTGTACTTCATTGCCATTATAGCAGAACTCACCATTGAGCAACTGAAGTTTCACCAAATACAGGGAAAAAAAATCTTAATTCAAACCTTTATAAAGAATGGTGAGATCAATGCAAAGAATACATTGAGTTATTTTAGTGATGACTCATTAAAATATGAGAAAATTAGCACCTGTTTAAAGAAGTGTCCCTCACTGAATCACTCTTAACCACACTAAATTTCCATGGTTGCGGGAGACTGAAAGTCTTAGGGACCTTAGGAATCCAACTTCTAGTCTTTCTAGTTTTACTCTCCTAGGCCCAATGACCTAACCTTGTTTTTCCTTATTTTTAAAGATTCTATGTTTTCTCTGAATCCTGACAAGTCTTATCTGACAAGTTTCTGTTGAATATTATAATACGAAAATTTAGCTTGTTGGGCTGTTACTTGGGTGTGAATTTGTGTATGTTTGGGTCTATGGGTGTTGCCTGTCAAAAACAAAATTTAGCTCATTACTGTCAGTCAAAACCATCTCACAGCTTTAGCCTGTTTTCAGAGGCTGTTAATCTCTGAGAGTTGACTACACATTTTTCTACCAAGGAACAACTTATAGATTTGAACAGCCTGCCTTTGGGTTGGTAGTGTGACTCCTTACAAGGTTCCAGGTATATGTGTAGTTTTGTCTCTTTGTTATTAAGTAAGCATATACAGAAAGTTGAGCCTGTTCCCTTTAGAGTTTGGACAATTGTATTGCCCATTACTTACTCTCATAGCACCATCTGTCTACCTTTGTGACACTTGTCACACTTGCCAGGTTTACAGTATTGAGCACCAAGCTCCATGGGGCAGGAACTAGTTCTGTTTTATTAATGCACACTGTTTGCTCAGCCCCTTCTCCCGATAATACGAAAGTATTCAACTGTGGATTGAATAAGCACGTGATTTACATACACAATTTAGAGCTTGAGAAACAGTTTGTAGAAAAGTTTCCTTCTTTTCTCATTTCAGTCACTTTGGAAACCATTTTCCTGGTTATTAGAAAAATAACTAGTTCTATAGTTTTTTGCCATAGACATAGGTGAGATGGAATAGATAGACAGGAAGCAGTACACCATCTCATTGAGAAATACACTAAATACATGTGAGCTAAAATTACCAAAGAATAACTGAGAATGTAGCTTTTTGCTTGTTTTACCTCAGATTTGACTCTTACGTCTCCTGTGTCTTTTTTCAGAAAACCAAGAAAAGACAGAAGATCAATATGAAGAAAATTCACACCTCAACTCAGTTCCTCATTGGATTAATAACAATTCAATAGGTCAGTCTGATTGATACTGCCCTTCGGAATTTGCTGTTATGTCATCCTGTTAGATTTGGACTATGGTGTAGTTTAGATCTGTTTTTAATTGAGGATGAAAGGTACCCAAGTATCGAGGACTCTCCTTCATAGGGTTGTTATGAGTCGCCTGCGACTCAACGGCACTGCACTTAACAACAACAATACTTGGCTGCTGAGCTCCTGATCCCTTAAAGTCTGGCTGGTCTACACTGACGTGTGGTGAGGGTAGATTACACACTGAATTCTGAAGTCTTTGTGCGAAACAAAAAATGCAAAACCCTTAGCAGTCCTTGGTCATTTATGAACTGCTGAGTGGATACTGAAATGAAGCCACGTTGTATTAGAAAAGACATGCATTAATTTCAACCTTTTTTTTTTTTTAAACATGACTAGTAGAACTTGAAGTTGTATAAGTGACTTTTTCTTTATATCTTTGTATGTTAGTATTGGTCAAGGCAATTTAGAGGACGTTTGAGAGTGAAAGTGAGGTTATTTGAGCTGATGGCTGTGGACAGGTAATAGGCCTGTAACTTAAAGAAGGCGGCCCTAGTGCCATAGTGGTTAAGTGCTTGGCTGCAAACTGAAAGGTCAGTGGTTCAAACTTGCCCAGTAGTTTCTGGAGAGAAACCATAAAGATTACGGCTTAGGAAACCCTGTGGGGCTGTTCTAGTCTGTTCTGTTGTAGGGTTTGCTGTGAGTTGGAATCTACTTGACAGCACCCAACAAATCTAAAAGGAGAGGGGTAGTAATCTTCAGTTTGCCCAAGCATTGGAGTTTTGAGAGGGCTCTTGGAAACTGAGCTGTTGTGCAGGTGTCAGTGTGGGTGTAGTGTTTAGAAAACCACGTCACCAGAACTTTGGCCTTTGATGGTGGTAGTCCATTTCTCTGATTCTACACAAGTCTCACATTATTCATTTCAGGTGAGGACCTCCCACCTTGCACCATGATCGCCTGAGGTTTGCTAGTTAGCCTACCCAGCAGGTCTTCACAAATCCAGCACACTAGGAGCCTTTTGCCAACTGGTCTGAGGTCAAAGAGAGTTTTTAGTTTGTAGAACTTTGTTATTCCCCAGTGAGCTTAGGTAGAAGCAAGTGGGATATGAGGGAAGGAAGCATGGACTTGGCATCAGAAGCTAAGGATTTCAGGACTCAGCTCTGTGTAATGTTCCCTTCCTGAGCCTCAGTGTTGCAGAACTGAAAGAGCCTGTGTGGCACTGAGTCCTATATACAGAATCCTGAGTTTTTGGAAATGAGTTTTGTTGAGAAGCTAAATGGTTTGATAAAAAGATTAATGAAAATGAGAATTGCAGAGAAATGGGAAAAGTGCAAAGACATGGTGGATATTGTAATTAATATTACAAAACATATTTGAAGGGTTGAATGGAAAGCCAGTTTCCTTGTAAACTTTCTATCAAAACATGCACAGAATAAGGAGTCTTCAGGACGGTGCATGTTTGGTCTGGAACCTTGAGGGTTACCATGTTAGCCTCACTGAGAGTGTGTGATATATTATTGTTCCAGGTTTGAGCGTGGAGCAGGCGTCCTATGGGATGCAGACACAGAACTACCCCAAAGGTGGTCTCCTGGAAGGCTTATGTCAGCCCTCCCCTGTGCCTGGTGCTCTTAGCTCCGAGCAGGAGTTCCAGCTGTACCCCAAGTCACGACTCAGTACCATCGGTATCAACTACTGTCCCGTCAGCCAGGACTTCCAGGGAAGCAACTTGAATCTGCTCACCAACAATTCCGGTAAGCCATACCCAAGTGTGCCTTTCAGCATGACTGCCAATATAATTTTTTCAACTGGCCGAGTTGTCATGTCTAGGGGTAAAATGAACTTTATTTTCCTTAATAAATGCGACCTGTTTGCAGCCATCCAGAGAGGAGATTCATGTGCTTGTCCAGATTCTAAAAGGACTTTAGAACAGAGACAATGGGTTTATACAACAGATATGTCTTAGCCAGGTTGTTCAGTAAACAAGGGCCAGTGAGGTTAAATCTCTCCCACAAAGAGCTGTTGGGAGACAGACACGAGAATGCATATTTAGTTTTTTTACCCAGCTGTGATACCTGTTGTTGTCATTTGATGTAGTATAACTCCCATGTGTGGATTGTGCTCCAGAGTTTTGGTAGCGGGTTGTCAATCACCTGAGTGTATTTGAGTTGCTAACCTTTTGACTAGTGGCCATGCCACTAGGTAACTATTTGCACTGAGAATGGCACAGATGGTTTGTGTTTGACTGTGATCCTAAACTTTAGGTATTGGACCCACCTTTGGGAGGTGAATCAAGTCCTGTTAGATAACGACCTCATCATGAGTCTCTGTAAAGGTTTATTCCTGGGAAATCCCACAGAACAGTTGTGCTTTGTATCGCCTGGGCTCGTCATGAATCAGAAGCAAATCAGTGGTGACGAGTTTGTTTTGTTTACTTATGTGCTGGTACCTGTGTAATCACCACCAAATGGACATGGAGAAGGCCCTTCCCCTTGTCAACCAATGCCTCCACTCCTTGGGTTTGAAGAAATCATTATTTCAATCATAGATTAATTGTAAAAATTTATGTAAATGGAACCATACACTTTTGTTATGTATTTGTCTTTTGCTCATGCAAAAACTTGTGATTCATCAGTGTTGTGAAATATCCTAGCAGCATGCCCCTTTTCACTGCTGCATAATATTCCATTATAGAAGGCTTTATTGTTAACTTCTAATAAGTTGGTCCCAAAACTGATCCCACACATCACAGGAAAACACTGCCCAGTCTTAAACACCATCCCCATATGAGTTTGGATCAGACCCTTGAAATCCGTAGGCTTTTCATTGGTTCTTTTTCTAATAACCTTTCCCCCTAGTTCATCTTAATGAGGAAGCACTCCTTTTTTCCAGCATCATAGCAACACAGATGCCTCTAATGAAAATGAGTGATGGCCACAGGTTAGCGGCATTTTCTAGAAATCAGACCCAGGGCTGCCACATGGAAGGCAAAGGGATTTTGCCACCAACTCATCACTGCCCTCTTCATTGCTGTATAGTATTCCAGTTTAGGGAGCTACAATATCTATATTCTACTATTGATGGTAATTGCTGTGTATATATTTATCATAAGGATCAAGTACCTGGTACTAAGAGCATTCTGAGAGTCTGTTGGTGATTTCCCAGCAAAGAGTAGATAGCTGCCTGGGTGCCTGGTGGTATGATGTTGCTGTTGAACCCAAGACCAACCCTTGGTTTTTCTCAGTATTCCTCAGTAGCATTGGCCGCATTTATTGCCCTCAAAGGACTCAAAGCATGTTTGGTTGTTTGTCATTGCCAGGTAAGCCAAGGGACCACGACTCCACCGACAGTGGTGGGGACAGCTTTGAGAGTTCAGACTCGCTGCTGCAGTCCTGGAACAGCCAGTCATCCTTGCTTGACGTACAGCGGGTACCTTCCTTCGAGAGCTTTGAGGATGACTGCAGCCAGCCCCTTGGTCTCAACAAGCCAACCATGTCCTTCAAGGACTACATCCAGGAGAGGAGTGACCCAGTGGAGCAGGGCAAACCAGTTATACCTGCGGCTGTGCTGGCTGGCTTCACAGGTGAGTGTGGTCACTCTGGGCGGCCGCCCAGGCACCAGCCTGCTCTGTGGAACACCCCCACCTGCCGCGCCCTGTCCAGCGCCATGTTTATTAAGGGTGGCTCCAGTGTAAGCACACTGCTGTTTACACTCGACATTCTTTACGTGGCTCAGTGTGTCTCTGGGTCCTAAAAATGTCAGACATGTAAGGATGTTCACATACACAAAGCTCAGCTGGATGGGGGAGGTGAAGTGCACAGGCTGCTGCTTCCACCTGGGCTGTGCTGGACTTTGGGAGAGGAGGACCCAGGGGACCTTGGGCCTGTGGTGGCCTCAGCCATGACTCACCCACTCCAGGAATGCCACAGAAGTCAGCCAGCTTAGGCTGGGGCTGATCTGGGGAGGGATCGCAGAGGCAGCCTCCCCTCACACAGGGATTGTTTACCTTTTCTTCTAAAATCTTATTTTTAAGGTTTAGGCAAGAGCTATTCTAGGCAAAGGACAAATATTAAAGCTGTTTTTGTAACCAAATGTTTCTCAGCTTCATCAGAAATCTGGAGACTTGTTTCATTGCCTCTTATGTCCTTAAATGTCCTTTTGTTTTTTCTTCCATACTGTGACCATATGGCGCTATTGTGAATTAAATAAAAAGAACTCCTTAAAAATTGTGATAGGTTAAAAATGAGAATTTGTAGGCATCTCTTTAAAAAATAGAATTTGTAGGCTTCCTGAGACAGCTGAAAACTGTACTAAAATACATATAAAGGCAGTGTTCAAATGGATGTAGCTGATTCCGGTCATGAGCCTGATGATAGACAGCTTTAGTGTTACTCTTTCTTTTGATTTTAATAATAATGATAGTTAAGATTTACGATTGTCAACTCTCAACTCCCTATATGCATGCACACACACAACACCCCCTCACCCCCCAGTTCCTGTTGGTGTAAACTCCTACTCATGGTGAGCCCATGTGTGTGACAGCAGGAAACTCTGTAGGGTTTTTAATGGCTGTTTCTAATAAAGCGGATAGTGATGCTTTTTTCCAAGGTGCCCATTATACAGATGAGGAAGTTGACTCCGAGGTAGATCACTCTCCTGTGATCACACAGGAAACCCAGCCCTGGCAGGTTCCAGACTGCCTGTCCTTCATGCTTTTTAGCAGTGCTTCATGAATGAGAGCCGTCCAGCTCTAGGGAGTGGCTGTTGGATGGGAACAGGGTGGAAAACTCAAGTGTCTCTCTCCCACACCAAAGGGTGTGGCACCTAGAGAGGAGACTCTGGCAAAGTCTTGTTCCTTATCTTTGCAAGAGACCTGCATGATGCTTCATAAAGCTGTAAATACTAACAGAAAAGAGAGCACATGCTGCAAACTGTGCTTTCCCCAACGAATTCTGTTAGGCAGTGGATATTATCCCTGATGGCTGCTGAGGAAACCCAGCCTCTGGGTGGCTCGGCCAGGGTTACTCAGTGGAGTGGGATGACACTGTCCATGCCCCATCCCACTGTGTATTTCTAGAAATACACTGTAAAGGCTTTCATAGAAGAGACAAACTGGGGTATTTTGCTGTAAACTTTATTGGAAAGCCCAACCCTAGCTTTTAAGGACAAGTGTCTCAGCTGAGGGACTTCTCAGAGCAGGACATGTCAAGGGAGCTTCTTGTTTAGTGTCCACGCTCATCCCATTAAAGCCATTAGCACCTTAAGTTGCCCCTTCCATGTTGGAATTAAATTCAGAGTCTGATCTACACGCCTACATCTCAGAGTCTGATCTACACGCCTACATCAGCTTGTTTGTTTCGGCTGGTGTAAGGAGCCCTGGTGATGCAAGAGTTAAGTGCTTGACTGCTAAATGAAAGATTGTGCATTTAAATGCACCATGTAGTCTGGTAATATTTCCTCACATAAAGATCACTTGGATTACTGTGACAGCAGAAAAAAAAAAAGAAGATGATTTACAGTTCACAGTCCCTGGGTGGTGCAGTTAAGCAGTTGACTGCAAGCCAGAAAGTTGGCTGTTGTTTGAACCCATGCAGAGGTGTGTCAGAAGAAAGGCCTGGTGATTGACTTATGGAAGTTCACAACCTTGAAAAATCGTATGGAACAGTTCTACTCTGTATGTGTGGGGTCACAGTGAGTTGGGGTTGACAGCAAATAATGATAATAGCCTTGCTGGATTTTAAGTGTACCAAAAAAGAGGTAATTTGCCTCTCTCTCTCCCAGGAAGTGGACCTATTCAACTGTGGCAGTTTCTCCTGGAGTTACTTTCAGACAAGTCTTGCCAACCGTTCATTAGTTGGACAGGGGATGGATGGGAGTTTAAGCTCGCCGACCCTGATGAGGTGAGTTAGGCCTGGGAAACTGGGCTCTGAACCTTGATTTTTATCCTGCTGGATCTCTGCATGCAGAGCTTGGGGTATAGGAAGGTGCTTTCTGTGCCAACAAGGACTTTTCTACCTGAGGTATTCAGGCTTAAGAATATGGGTGAGGAATCACGAATGTATTGATCAGCATGGCACTGCATTTGAGTGTGAACTTGGACATGGAGTGGACATTTCTGCGTTACTATGTTTGATAAAAAAACCTCATCTGAGAAAGCCTTAGGAAAGTTTACTTTGCACATGGTGTGATACAGCCCTCGCTTGGCTTGCCCTGCTGCTGGTCCACAGTGTTGGCACCAGCCCTGGTTGGTGGGACTGGGTGCCCTACTAGAGCAGAAAGCCTAGGGCAGTTCTGATGCCCCATTTAGAACAGAATGAATGAAGGCCCTTTGATCTCCAGCTCTGGGTGAACATCATCTGTCACCTCCATGATTCCATTGGGGAACAGGACCATTGAGGAGTGAGTCACAGCATGTGACTCAGATTCTCACGCGGCAGCTGCTAACTGTTCCTGTTGGGATAAGGACCCAGGGACTGGGGACACAGGCAGCATGTTCTTTGTCTTAGGGATCTCCTGATTCTGAGCCCTTGGGAGGCTGTGATGGTTGGTGCATGAGAGAGCGAGGACTGATGGGGACACGCCGCCCTGCACTAGATGAGAAGTGCTGTGTGGCCTGGCACGTGTGTTAAAACAGATTGTGCTGTGTGACTGTCGAGTTTCTGTGGTGCATATGAAGAAATGACTGTAGTGTTTTCAAGTGACTTTAACTCTGGCTTGAATTTAACTCTGGCTTTTCTGTCTGTGTCTGTCTCAGGTGGCCCGCCGGTGGGGGAAGAGGAAAAACAAGCCAAAGATGAATTATGAGAAGCTGAGCCGCGGTCTGCGCTACTATTATGACAAGAACATCATCCACAAGACATCGGGCAAGCGCTACGTGTACCGCTTTGTGTGCGACCTGCAGAACTTGCTCGGCTTCACGCCGGAGGAGCTTCACGCCATCCTGGGCGTCCAGCCCGACACGGAGGACTGAGGCTGAAGGACTGCCTGAGCGGGCCCCAGCCCCGTGTGACTGCGATGGGAAGCCTGTCCTGACCGCCGCTCCAGGCACCTTGAGCAGAAGGGATTTAATACACCCAGGAACATCACCAAGAAGCAGTGGTCTTGACTGCTTATGAAACCGCGGTCCAGCCAGTCAACTGCGGAAGGCAGTGCAGTTCCTCCCTTCAAAGGTCTGCCGACAGGATAACTGCTATTTACGATGCTACTAAATTAAGACAGACGTGTAAGTGGCACTGGGAAGCCGTGCGAGCTCGAAGCAGGCCGTGTGTGTGACCTGATTGTGCAGCTATTTGATGTTTTGCAAAGGAGAAGCAAACGCATGGTGTGTGCACACACAAGCTCGCATTTGGGTTTTTCGCCACCAGGAATAGGAAAAGTGTTCTTTTTTGTTTCAGAGGAGTGGGAAGGAAAGAATCATGCCATTTCAGAAGTTAGTTTGTATATATTATTGTAATCTTAGAGTTGTTACGAAAATCCTTTACCAGTCCTATTTAACAGAAATTGTATATTGTAATTTAAAATAACTATAACTATTTGAAAGAGGAATGCCGACATCCGATACTTGTTCCATGTTTTGTCAATAGCACACGTTTTACAAAGATTGCATCCTCCAGGGACTGATAACTGTAAAATGTGCATTATTTACATTTAATACGCAGTAATAAGGTCTAGTGGGGTAATCCCTCTCTTTTTTTATTTTATTTTATTTGCCATGGTTATTATTTGGCAAGGATTTGTACATTTGGGACTTTTTACGAGAAACTGTTATATTATCTAGAGGCACTCCTGGCCTCGCTGTGGTTTCTTCTTGCATTACATTACTTGTAATGGAAAAGTAAATAGTTATAAAGCAGTATTTTTCTTGACAAATGGCATATGTTTTCCACGTCTGTGCATGTCTTCAAGTCAGTTTATACACAAACTTATTTTTGTTTTTCACTTTTGACAGTGCTTCCCACAGCACCTCCTCCCAGCCAGCCACTTCCCCCTGCCCCCAGTTATTCTGTGATTAAAATAAGAGTACTATTTTTGGAAATATGCGACTCCTTTTCAGCGATCAGGAGGGATTTATGTAGCAGCTATTTTTACTGCAAAAGTAATTCACTGGAAAAAAATGTAGTTTGTAAGAAAGCTTTATTTTTATCTCAGCTCCATGTAGAGTTAAACATATTGTAAGAGAGCTGAGGGTTCTGGGGTAGGGGCAGGGAATCTTTATTAAACCTCTTGAGCATAAAAGCAGCACAGCTTGTCCCATCATTGTTCATCAGTTGGGTCTTGGACTATTTGGATAATGCACCAAACCAACAAAATTACTGTTGAGTTGATCCCAACTCATGTGTCACCATACATCTCAGTAGAACTATGTTGTTTGGGGATTTCAGTGGATCATTTTTTCCATTGAAAATTAGATTACCTGGCCTTTGTTCTGCGTCACCTCTGAGTGGGTGCACACTTCCAGTCAGCCGTTGAGCATGTTAGCCTTTTGTATCACCCAGTGACTGCTAGACAGCATGCTGTTCCTTTCACTGAGTGCAGATGACCTACAGGCAAAGAGGGTAAACAAAGTGTGCATTTGAATAGTTCCTTTAAAGAAAATATTTTGGTTGCAGTGGGAACATCTGTATTTGTTTCAGAGGAGATCCTGGGTCAGTCATGTATTCTTGACCTTTAATAAATGATTGAATCTGGTTCGTTGCAAAGTTGGAATGTTTTTACCAGCAGTGTGACCTCTGATAGACAGTTTAAGTCTCTGTGCCCTGGTTTTCTCATCTGTAAAGAATTGTCTTTAAAATAGGTCCCCATGTAATACGGTGATAGAGAAAGCTGGGGGGGGGGCGGTCCTTGAACTGGGGAGACTCCACTGAAATGTTCACAAAAGATGATTTCAAGCATAGGATGTTTTTCTCAAGTAGGGTCTATTTATCACTTGGACATCTGTTTGTAACATAAACAGTTTTACTGCCAAAAGAAAGCTAACCATCAGCTCATTACATGGTGGGCTGAGCCATGTGAAATTGCTATTAGTCTACCTTTTTAAATCCACAAAACTGGCAGTTTTATATCATTCAACTTAATTGTTATGGAAACCAAGGTGCATTATAAATCTTTCGGCGTGGTAATAAACATCTTGCATATAAAGATTTTGTGATTTGACCTTTTCTTTGGGTAGTTGGGTCTTTTCTTTTACAACCAACATTTTGTTTACATAACTTGAGCTGTTTCTCACTGGTTCATACCCAACTCAGCACCCTTCATGGGTCAAATTTTCATGTAACTGATTATACACTAACTTTCCACCACTTGTTAGTCAGCTTGTACTCCATGGTTGTTTGCATGTTGCGGTGACCCTGGAAGCTGTACCATGAGGTGTTTCAAACACTAGCAAGGTCACTAGCCGAAGACTGGGAAGAAGGACCTGAGAAGTTACTTCTGAGAATTCTTAGTCTATGAATACTGTGGATCACCACAGACTGTTGTGTAAAACAGTGTTAGAAGATAAGCTCCCTGGATTAGAAAGCAATCAAATAACAACAGTGGACTCTATCAACAGCAAAGGACTGGAAAGCATGATATACTGTATGTGAAGTTGCCATGAGTCACCTGGAATGGACTTGATGGTAACAACTCTCAAATTGTGTAGTAAACCATAACAAAGCTGGAACCAACCAATGCAGCTGTTCCCGAAGGAATTCTCCAAAATTTGAGAAGGAATAGAGTCAGGTTTCTTAACTTTTGCAGGGATTACATGGGAGATAATTTAAATGTTTAGAATAAGTCTATTAGGGTTTGAAATACAGATACTTTTTGTTCTGTAATTGTGTCCACAGTTCTCTGTGCCTTCTTGCCAGGCCTCTGATGCTGAGAAAAGATACAAGACCCAAAACACATGTTCTCCAGACTCCTTTATGCTCTTCAAAGTGAGTAAACACCAAAGAACTACAGTTCATGTGGGTTCTATCCAATAGTGTGCTGGAGCTGATGAGAGCTGAGTGTAGTCTTCATTCAGTGAACTACATTCAAGAACATGGTAAACTAGAAAAGCCTATTTCCGTCAAGCTCAATACTGAAGAATCACTACCCAGGATGGAGTACATTGCCCATAGTTTTTTCCAAGGCTGTAAGCTTTGGAAGCAGTTGGTCGTGTCTTTATGAGTAAATGGGTTTGAATTGCTGACCTTTGAGTTAGTGACTGAGTGTTTAAGCACTGAACAACTAGAGTTTTTAGTGACATGTTCTCTCCACCATTGAGTCAGAACTGTTTCCTAACATTAAATAAAAAGAAAGATGGTTCGTCTTTCTCCTGAGGAACTATTGCATTTGAACTGCTAAAGTGGAGGGGCCTTTGGGTTAACAGTGCGACTCCATACAGACTCAGCCACCAGAGCTCTGGTGATGAGTTCACTATGGAAATCAGCAAATAATGGTAACTTCCTCAGGAAACGCTTATCAGATAAACGATCAGATTAAGCAGCAAATCATTGATTAAAGCTTGACAATAAAGTGTCCTAAGCTATGGTATTTTCAGTTGCTTCATATGGATGTGAAAATTGGACAATAAGAATTTGCAAGAATTGATGTCTCTGAATTGTGTTGGAAAAAGAATTGAACATACCATAGATTTGGAAAAAAAATAGATCTGTCTTGGTGTAGTGCAACCAGAATGCTCCCTATAGACAAGAATCATAAAACTTGTGGTCAGAAGGCACCAGTCTTTGGGAAAGTAGAGCACAAGCAAAAGAAAGACTCTTGAGCTGGGTGGACACTGACTGCAGTGAGCACAGTGGAGATTGTGAAGGTGGGACAGGATTGAGCAGTATTCTGCTGTTCATAGAATTGCTGAGAGTAGTAACAACTACACCAGTATTTATCATATTAGAAATTAAAGCAAAAAATAAAACCAATCTAATGCATGTTGATGTAAATAATGTATTTTTTAATGAAAACTAATCAATACTGTGAATGTTCTTACATTTAAGAAAAATCTCTTTAATGGCTGGCTTAATAGAAGAGTGAATTCTATTATCTGCTCTGTATTCAGTCCATGTTTTGATTGTGTATACAACAACAAAAAAAAGATATATAACTGAAAGATTAATGGCTATTTTGAATAATTGTGGATATTCTTTAATTTGATAGTAAAACTTGGTAGTATCTTGGTATTTTAAAAATTAACTACAATTGGAGTCTGAATCAGTGAATTTTTAGAAAGTCACATTCTATTGAATTGACCTATCTTACACTTTGAATAGATCTTTAATATAGGCATGATTTGTAACCTTATAAATATAATGGTCATTTGGAAAACATGGACCAGAATGTTGATACATATCAATCCACAATATCCAACAATCACATCCATTAATTTCACCACCAAACTCATCAGAAAATTTCTGGAAGCCGGCAGGCTCACAGTAGTAGATACAAAATTTCCGAATGTCAATTTTTTACTTGATAGCTCACATTCCACAATTTAGAAAATGCTTAAATTGAAGTGACAGGTCATTTTCATGTTTGAGAACATAACTGCTAAATACCCAAATCTGAATAATCATGATTTGTTGGCTGTTCTTTCAAGTTAAGAATGTTATCACATCAGTAGATCCAGCTATCTATGGCCAACTAATATTTGACAAGGAAATAAAACCTATCAAATGGGGAAATGATAACCTCTTCAACAAATGGTGCTGCCAAAACTGGACTTCCACCTGCAGAAAGCTGAAACAGGATTCACATCTCACACCATACACAAAAACCAACTCAAGGTGGATTAGAAACCTGGGAGTAAAACCCTAAACCATAAAGTTCGTAAGAGAGAAGACTGGGATCAAGTTTTGATGGCCTAGTCTATGGTGTAAAGAGAATGTCATACACCGCCCCAAATGCACAATCTGAAGAGGATAAAATTGATGAATGGGACCTTCTAAAGATTAAATTCCTGTGCACAACAAAAACATTTTCCTTAGGGTGAAA